TCGACTAATTACATTTTAGAGTCATCATATAATAAATTTTTATCACCATCAGCAATTATTTCTTAGTTACTTTGGTTATACATTCCTTGGTTTTCTTTTCTTATTGTTGAATATATTTTATCATGAATACTGCAAATTTTCATTTGTTTCTTTTATCATGTTATCAGTGCAATCAAATGCTTCAAATATATGCAGCATGAATCAGAACGCGAAAGGTATTTATAATCGTAACATCGGGATTTTTATCATATGGTGAAAATTTCAAGAAAGTTTTTCTACACGGATAGTAGAACTTTAAAAAATATTAAAAAATGTTTATGTTTAAATATGATGAAATTCCTTTATTTAAATTAATTTTTGGATTGTCAAAAAAAATATAATAAAATATAAAAAAGTAAAAATTCAACACTATTTGTATTGCTTTATTTAATAAAATAGTTTTTCAATTCAATAATTTCGAAATCTGTTAATACTTTCATAAATGAGCTATTAGTTGATGAATTGATTCTCAAAATACTATTCAAGACGTTGTGAAACATCATGTTCGCTTTCTAAGATCAGAAATACCATCAGCAATTTTTACGCATTGCCTTACGATAATATCGCACGAAGAAATTACATGATGACCTCTGAGGTCTTTGTTCGTGCGAAAATATGTTCTTTATAATTTGTAATATTTCCGTGTTTATTTTTTTAATTTGTAATATAAAGCAAGTAATCGATAACACTTATGATATCCCAAGGCTAAAATACAAAATAAAGTATGCGTTTTATATCATGTAGCATTAAAGTGAAGTGCATATGATGCACTTTTATTATATGTTAAGTTAATCGATTATTTTTACCTTCATTTTATCGAGAATGTGACAAAACCAGTTCACTCGAGCGAAAGTGACTTCGAAGTTTTATCGTCGCCTTAGGAATGCAAATATTTTCATTTTCACCATATATTTCTTATCGTTGTAATGTGCTTGTAATTAATCGTAACTGGTACAGGTACACTTCATAAATACTAGAAGCGTTAATAAGAAAGGCTTTGAAATAGAAAGTTACAAGGAAATTAGTTTGAATGCAAAAAACGTAAATTTTCAATGACTATGATTGCAAGGTTGACGAGCTGAATTAAGATAATGGTCATATATTTAAGGTACAGTGAGAGAATACTGAAATCCTTATATATGAATAATTCAAATTTACACGTTTTATATTTTAGTTTTTATTTAAATTTTATATTTTTTTATTACTTAAATTATTCAATGTGAAAATGCCTAGTATATGTAGTATGTACAATTTAGGGCGGTTCTTAAAATGGTCATTTTCGAATTTCCTTGCTCCCAGGGGCTCAAATGGTTCCAAAATGATAAAAAACAATTCTCTGAAAGTTTTAGCTCTTAATATTGTCTTTTAGATAGAGCGCAATTCAATCAAACTTCGTATGGAAAGAGAATGGAAAATTTTTGAAAATTTAAAACTTTGTACTTAACTTGTCTAATAATATCAACTATGAAATTTACTGGATGTAAATTTAAAACGAAATGATTCCAAACTTTACTTAGTTGACTTCAAACAATTCGTCTTAATTCTGAAAAATGCATGTAATTGTGAATATAATTATTCATTACTTTATCTCATACATCATCAAGACTTTGTCAATCTTCAGATGTGCCATTAACAAAATAAAAAATCTTAACCTGGGTCATCTTACTAAAATTTCAAGTGACATTTAAAACATAACCATGTGAAATTCTGTGACAAGACATGGGAACAATCAGTGAAGAAACAGTGATAATGCGAATACTATCGCTTACAATAAATGTTTTGTGTGGGCTCGGATATTTTTGCAAATGTTGAGCCGAGTGAGAAGTTAGTTCCCCGGAATGTCGTCGGTCGGCTTGTGGGGCAATTGTCTTCCGAGCACGACGCCCAGGAAAACGAAGACCGAGGCCCCAGTGCGCTGACCAAGGTACCCAGAGTAAAGGATCAGTTGTTTAATTTTTGAATATAATTTCTTCTGTTGCTTGCAAATATTAATTAATGATATTGTTTCTAGAAAATTTTTGCATAAGTTTAAATAGAGTAGATTTTCCTGTCGGATAACATAGTATAGTATATTTATAACATAGTATTTTTCTAGTATGATAATTCTAGAATATATAGAGTGAGGTGCCTAAGTTGTACCAGTGCCTAAGTCGTGTCCCTATGTTTATTCTTATAGCTATTTTTGGTCTAATAACACAGGTCCACAAAATAAAAATTGTTGTCAGTATTGAGGGTGCGGCATATGTTTTCTTATTTAGGTTTTACCGCTGAATCTAAAGTCAAAATTGGGGGTCAAATGGCAAAATGTTGAAAAATAACGAAAAACAAAAAGTCTCCGATCTAGTCATTCTTCTGTATAATTATTACAATCTTATAATTTCTCTCGTTTCCTGGACATTTTTACCTTAGAGGGCGTCTATTAATCACGTGGGGGAGGGAGGAGTATAGTAAGATATCACGTGTATTTATTTTTTAACTATTTTTTCAAAAACATTTTCAAAAAAAATTCAAAAATTGTACAGTTTTTTCACGTAACTAAAAATGTATGTGATGTTGGTGGGAGGGGGGTAAGTTTGAATATCACCATGGTTTACAAAGGGGGGGGGGTTCAAAAATCCTTGAAAACTCGCTCACGTGATTAATGAATGCCCCCTTAAAGTTTCAATTAAATGATCTATTGAGTTTTTTTCGATAGTAATTTGCAAACATATTTTCTTCCCATTACTCCTGAGTAATCTGCAATTTGAATATCTGAAAACGTGTTGGCAAAATACAGCTGTGTCCTACAAAAAAAAACTTAATAGATCATTTAAGCAAATACTCAATTGTCACTAGGTAGAAGAGCCAGGAAACGACAGAATTTATAAGATTTTAATTATTATGCAAAATAATTACTAGATCGCAAACTTTTTCAATTCTTTTCCATTGGACCCTCAATTATGACTTTATATTTGTTATTTATGTTTTATAAACATATGCCGCACACCCAATAAAGCAACTTTTTTATTTTGTGTTTAATTATTAATTACCATCTAGTACCGTTATATATAGAACTATTTTGTTGATTAAACACACATTTACAACTGTTGACCGATTTTGTAAACAAGAAAAAATTAAAAAATAAGCAAGCTTTTTGTAAAGTATCTATTCATAGTTGGACTCAGTTGTAAGCCTTTTATGGTGAAATAATATGATTCTGATTTTCTCTTACTAATATTTATTTATATCACTTATTTGGAGAGTTTATTATGGATTATTTTAGAAAAATACAGAGAAATAATAAATGAATACAATATTTCATACTTTTAGCTTAAAATGAAAAACACCAACCAGTAACGACTGTATCTTCATAAAAAGTTTTCCAGATCTCAAATTTCTAGCACCTAGAGTTAACAATTTTATGAGCACATTATTGACTAAGTAACCAATCACTAGAAAAAATTTAATATCACACTCAATTATATATAGTTCATTGAAATTATAGTGGGTTGGTTCAACTAAGGCGATTAGGCGCCTTAATCCTAAGGGTAGTTTATTTTTCAATACCGTATAATTACTTATTTCAAAAAATTAAATTACAGTAATTTTTAAACATAAACTAACTAAATATAAATTCAAGAAGTGCCAAACATATTTTCAGATTAGTTTTACTTTAATTGAAAAAAATATTAATTATCTATTTCTTTAAGAAGTATGACTTAGACACAACCTTGCCCTATAGCAGGTTCGTGTTCTATATTTTTATCTCTCTTAAAATCATCGTAAAATTTTTAGAATTTGAAGAGCTATCGGTTATAATATATCTTAAAGAAAAAAATTTTGTTTATACTACAGAAAAGTACAAAAAAAATTGTTTTTATTATTATTTATTAAAAAAAAAATTTTGGATTTTTTATGTGGAAGTTGTTTAACTTGTTTAACGTTTTTCCTTAACTATTTATTTAAGAATTAATATTGAAATAATTTATTTCTATTTACATGCATATGTACTCGATATTTCCCAATACGGGTTCTGTTCGACAACTTTCATTACGTTAATTCGTAGTAAATCAATGCTATGTTTATTATTACAATATTGTTAATACTAAGATATTGAACAGACGGTTTCATTTCAAAGGTGTCGAACTACATGAGCAATTGTAAATAATTTGTTGTGCTGATAACATTAAATGCGTATTTAAAATAACTAAGAGTGGTTAATGTGAACTGCAAGCAAACAAGAAGAAATTATAATTCCAATTAATGAAATAAAATGTTCGGTTTTATGATGTCTATGACTTCTAATAGTCAAATAATTTTGGCTTCAACAGTTTTTGTGTCTTCTACATCATCGCACTTTTTCGTCTGGTTGGATGACAATACTAATACTATACCCATAAAACCTCCAATCTTGCAAAATGAACAACATGAATATGAAAATACAAAAACTTGTGTGGATGAAAGCCCAGGAACATCTGGTTTATCAGAGAATCAGAACCAAACTACTCTCAGGTTAATTTCTGGATCTGATTTGGAAGATCGTGAATGTCAAGAGATTGTCCTTTATGTTATTGGTATGAAAACGACAAAGACTTTAATTGAAAATGATAATAATAATATAATAATTAAAATATATATATATATATATATATATATATATATATATACATATATATATCATACATTTTTTGTTGAATTATTTACGATACAAACGTTAAATTGTTCACCATATTTCAATATGTCCAAATCTTATTATTCCAACAAAACTATGGAACAATCAATGTGCTATTTTTAAATATATTTAAGGTTTTTAATATAATATTTATTTTATAATAAATTGCTTTCGTTCATTTCACCATGTCTTCATTATCTGTTTTTACCTTCGAGCTTCAGAGTCTGTTACTAGCAAATCAATATTTATGAGTCAATAAGCATGATTTATTTCATTCTCAAAATAACACAATGAATCAATTATCTTTTAGATGAAGAAAACAACAAATTTAGTCATCATTATGAATCCCTGCCACCAAATTCTTCACCACCACCAGTTCACGTGGAAACTAGTCATACGATACCATTGGATTATGAAAGTGATTCCTTTGATAGTGATTCGGATTCAGATGGATCATCTAATATTAGGATGCATGTAAGCAAAAATATTGATAAAATAAAATAACATTTAAGAAAATATAAAGTTACATTACACTGTATTAAATTGTTGAAAATAATTTTTAACAAATAAATAAATTATTTATTAGAATTTTCCTAGAAGCACCATTATCATGAAGAGTTCAAAACTAAGCAAAGAAAATGTCTGTTTTTCAAATTTATTAAAGAACATTATTTCTCGACTATTGAATAATTATCTATTAATGCTACTAATTATATATTATGCCATAATATTTATATCTGTATTTGCCTTTAGAATGATAGTGGCGTGGACATGGACAATTGTCGCCTTCCTGAACCACCACCCAGTAGCACCCAGTCCTATTCCCTCAGCAGATTTGCAACCGCCGCCAGTCGCAAGATGAAGAAACTCCGTCGCAACTGGTCATTAACAAAAAACGATATCTCTAAAAGTCTTAGCCGAATCAAAAAGACAAACCACAAACATAATAGAAATACAGACACTTCTAGTGCTGTTATAGACAATAACACTTTATCACGACATATAGAGTCCAACCAAAGCAGACAAGAAGCCAGAACACCCACACCTCACGCATCAAACGATTTCATACATTTATATAACAATGCAACACATAATGGTGGTAGCGAACAATATGCTAGTGCTGCTGACAAGAATAATAGTCTTTCTAGAAGCAAGTATTGGTCATTCAAAACAAAATTCCGAAGGAGCACTTCAGCTATAATTGATAATGGGTTTAATGGAAACTCAGAATACGGTTTGCAGTCATCGAAGTCCACATTCTACCTTACAGACTCTGTAGATGTTGATTCTGGGTTCAGCACTGGGTACGTAATAAAGGATCTATATTCATATTTTTTACTAAGTTTCATAAAATTTCTTTGATTTTTTATTGTTTCTGAATCATTCTTTAGCTTGAGGTTTTATATTATAATTCGATTACAATTTTATTAATTTTTTTTCACAGTAGCGAAAGGTTTGTAAATTCCGATTCAAAAGCATCCCCACCCGAAATACCGCCACATACCAAACGAAGATCCAGGCCTATGAGCTCACCTGATCACGATAATAATTCAATATCAGGACGAAGAAGTGTTCTTGGAAGCAGACCATTAAGCCCTCCACCGCCACCACCAAATAACACCAGCAAAGGTAAAATTAGTTAATATAGATACCTTTAATAAATATAATCAAATCGATATTACAATAAAAAAATGAAGTGTACTTTTTCTTACAAATATATTTAATTTTGGATAGATAATAAATCAATCTGCAGTAAAAAATCTGACCGTTCTGGACGAGGAACTTCATGGTACGCTGAGTGTGGTTTGTTTAAACCTGAAACACATAAAGGAGATATGTGCAGAGATAGAGAAAGATCTAGCAGCACTTCTTGGTACTTAACTGATTTATTACTTTTTCACATGTAAAATTATTTTTATAAATTAAAATATTTTATTTTTTCAGGTACGCTGAAGTAGGATTGTACCAAACAAGCGCGGCTTCAACAGCCAGCAGTTCTGGTATGTCTACGGCTCCGGACAGCGGATCAGATAGTGGACATTATATGAACATTACCAAAAAGTGTGGATTTCCAAATGGTATTAAAATCGATGAACACGATGTATTGCAACACAGATTTGAGGATGAGCCTTTATATCAATTTTACAACGCTTCTAAACTTCAGGTAGATAACTGCATACTTTTACACATTAATTTCCTTATAAAGAAGTCTAGGTAGATAACTGGATAGTTTTACACATTAATTTCCTTATTCTTATATATTTAATAATTATTTTTTTAGTCTGTGTGCAGTTCTCTATCATCCGATTCTGAAGATACAGATGGTTATGAGGAAGTAGGACCTTTACAAGATTTAGAATACTCAACAGAACTTCCAACAAGCAATAGAAGTTCGTTTAAATCTCGAGGAACACCCGATATATCTACACTAGTTCCTGACAAATCGCCAAAAACACACGAATTTCTCAAATTAACAGGAACTACACGTGTTCCGTCCAGGACTTTGTGGTGCGAAATTCCAGAAGTCGTAGCTTCTAACATCTTGGGTAAGAATAGAGTAATAATAATAACAAAATTTATTGTTTTTGTATGTTTATTATGACTATAAAGTCTTTTTGAGTTTATTATATTTTATGACTAAAACCTTATTTTTAGCCACTCTAACAGCTCATCAAAGACGTTTACAAGAAGCCAAATTTGAACTAGTCAGTTCAGAAGCGAGTTATTTAAACTCTCTGAACCTTTTACGAAGTCATTTCATGGCCAATACAGCATTTCATGATAAACACGTTTTAACAGCTGAAGAGTGGCAAATGTTGTTTGGAAACGTTGATCCAGGTATTTTTGAACAATATCAATATACAATATTTGAAATTTGCTAAAAAAAAATATTATTTTCTAGTATACAATTGTTCATCAAATCTGTTATCAGATTTAGAATTATGCTGGCAAAGAAATATATTGTTACCAGATGTTTGTGAGAAAGTTAAACATCATGCAGAGCAAGAATTTCACGTTTATGTGAAGTATTGTGAGCAGCAACCACATCTAGATAGGACACTCAAAAAACTTAAGTAAGAAAATCTACTTGTTTGAGAAAATATGTTATTATATTAATTTTTATAATTTTTACTATAGAGATCAAAGAGGGCGATTTTATGAACATCTTTGCATATTGGAACAAAGTCCAGCTTGCCAAGGCTTAGGTTTACATTCATTTTTAATGTTACCTATGCAAAGGATAACCAGGTTTCCTCTTCTTATTGACGCTGTTTTGAAAAGGCTAGATCAAAGCGATGATGAATATCCTATTTGCCAATCTGCTCTGTCTATTTTAAATAACGTAAGTTTAAATTTTATCTGAATTAAAAACCTTACATATTTGTAAGTATTGGTTGATGATAAATAAATTTCATATATAATTAATATCTTATTTAGTTCTAATTTTCTTTATCTAGATCGTCCATCAATGTAATGAAGCTGCAAGACAAACTGAGCATATGGCCGAATTGTGCCGCCTTTCCCGACTTCTTGAATATCCCCAATATATAACACCTGTCCAATTAGTACCTAGAAAAGTTCCACGCCGAGTGCTGGTGCGATCTGGTGAACTGACCCAAATATCGTGCAGAGGGGATGACGGTGGACCAGTCACCAGTAACAAACTCACTTTCGGGAAGAAGCTGATCAAAACAGTTCTTAACTTTTTCTTGTTTACCGATGTTATGATAATAGCAAAGAAGAAAAGGTGGGTTAAATTAATTTTAAGAATTTATATCGTGTATTATAACAAATTACTTGAGCTGTTTGTGTAGTTGATTTTATATAATTAAATTATTTTTTATAGTGATGAGAGCTATATGGTAGTTGGACATTGCCCCAGATCCCTAATAACAGTTATAGGAAATGGACCAGAAGGCGGACACATATGGCCTGGTAAAGAAGCTCCAGCCAAGCATATGCTTTTACTTACAATACTCGAAAATCATGAAGGAAAGACTGTGGAAATGGTAAAAAAGCGTTCAAAATTATCCGTGTATGCATATTATATTGGAATGGATATGTATTTTACTTTTTGCGTAGTTTTTATCGTGCGCAAGCGAAAGCGACCGGCAAAGATGGTTAGAGGCCTGGTCACCACCTTCATCCGACAATCCTGATGAAGTTTTGTATGAAGATTGGGATTGCCCACAACTCATAGCCAGACACCAATATTTACCCAGACAACCGGACGAACTAGGATTAGAACCTGGTGATGTGATTAATGTAAATCGCAAAATGGCTGATGGTACGTTACAAATTTACTGTTAAATTTAGAGATAGCGATAAAACTATGCTAAGTGTATTTTAATATAAAAAAATGTATATAGGATGGTACCATGGCGAACGAATTCGAGATGGCGCAAAGGGATGGTTTCCTGGTAATTATACAGAAGAAATAGGTTCTCCCCATTTAAGAGCACGTTATCTGAAACAAAGATATCGTCTAATGGCTTACAATGCAAATTTTGAGCAACGCAGAAAAAGATGATAGATATTTAGTTTTTTTAACAATGTTATTATTACTGTAAATTAAAATTACATAGAACTGAATTATAGCAAATTGCATAGCATATTTTAATAGTGATTACTGATAATTACCATATGCAATAATAGTTTTAACTCATTTTATTCCCTTATTTCACATATATACCCCCTGTCATGATATATATTATTGTATATAAGTAAGTTAAATATTATTATGTTTTACTCTGATACTGAATATAATATGGTAATTTTATTTGCTGCAGAGCACAAAAAAGGTTGTCTTATATGTGCATTTTATAAATAGTGTTTATATAGGTATATATTCAGATTTGAAATCTATTTATTTGTGATACTGTCCATAAAAATATGTAATAAATATTTTATATTCCATTATTGAATTATTCTTGAATAATTAGGAATAATAGTGTTGTATAATATTATAATATGTATTTTTACATATATAAATATTTGAAATTTATGTTAACATTAACCATAAAACTAAGTTTGCACCTTTGCAGGTTTTCTCCTTATTTGTTCTTCCCACTGTTTACTATGAGATATATAAATTTGCATTGCAGCTTTAGCATCTTCTACAGAACTGTGTTCACCCTTTTGAATATCAACACCCAAAATTAATTTAGCCAATTTTCTCAAACCTGGGGTCCTTCCGCCAGCCAAACTTCTGAATGGCTTATATCTTGATGTATCTCTAATTCGTTTTCTTGGATGGCTGATTAGTAAAGCGTCAAGATCATGGTGCAAAGCGTGACCAACAAGAATTTTTCCCTGTAATATTGAAGCAACTTCCTTTGCGACAGTATCAAATTCTGTGGCATTCTTTAAGTCACTTGGTCTAACACCACTCACACTTGTTCTATAATCAACTACTTCTTCACGAGGTGCAACGAATTTATCATAAATGCAATCACCATGCTTATTGACTATAGAAACTCGAGCTAGCATATTTTCTTTGCCTTCTTCTCCAACGCCAACCATTTCACAATCCATAGCCACATATTTTGTGATCTACAAGTATTGTGTAACATTTTTAGTACAAATTATGCTATAAACATGTAATATAAGTAGCTCTAATACAACTTACCAAGGGTTGATTTCTTTTATCCTCTTTTTTGTCTGATGTTGATCCTTGGCTGGTAGAGGTTGAATTTTCACTGCTATCTGTTGTATTTGCTGTGTGATTCATTTGTATAACACTTTCTAGTTTTCTAGCTCTTCTGAATGGACCCGAATATTTTTCTGTTTTTTGAGAATCATCTTTCTGTGAATCTTTAGTTAAGCTTTGCTTTGAAAGAAAAGCTTTCCAATTAGCTCCTATCTCATTTCTGGATAATTTAGTCTTTTGAATAGCATCTTTTGTTTGAGATTTAGATTTCTTTCCCCTTTTACGTTTACCTTTAGGAGCAGATGTGGATTGCATTTTTATCTTTAACAAATTCTCCAAAAACACGTTATAAATATATAAAATGGTCTTTGTAAACAAAGCTATTGTCGTTGAGAATATACTAGAACTTAACATATGATCTTAACATAAATATATAAAGTAAAACACTGCTTTTCAATAAAAAACTGTCAAGAAACGTCATAACAAATAAATTACCACGTGCTAGGGTTGCCAGTACTGAAATTTTCTCCCGCGCTTAATATATTTCTTTGGCAATGGCAACCCCATGTCACAGCGGGACAGCGGCCATGTCAGTATAAACAATTGAAGTAAATATTTCTTTTGCTGACATAAAGAAAAGTTAATTTTGCTCCTAATTGAATTATTGCACTAAATTTGTACATAGTTATTAGAAAGGTATGCAACACTTGCTTGAATATTTCGCGAATGATAATAATTTATTAGTCCTAAGTTACATTTTTATTACTATGTTTAAATTCCATGAAATTTGCCTCCAATTGACAAAATGCATCTTTTTATAACAGAAATAATATGGATACTGATGATATGGAAAGCTCTAGCGGCGGACCAATGTCCAGCCTGAATAGTTTGTTTTCTTTTACATCACCTGCAGTAAAAAAGTTATTGGGGTGGAAGCAAGGTGATGAGGAGGAAAAATGGGCAGAAAAGGCCGTCGATAGCTTGGTTAAAAAATTAAAAAAACGTAAAGGTGCTATTGAAGAATTAGAGCGAGCTTTAAGCTGTCCAGGCACACCAAGTAAATGTGTTACTATACCCAGATCTCTAGATGGCAGATTACAGGTAATGTACATATGACTAATATTATTTATTGTTATTTGCTTAGTGACATAGGTCACTATTCACTTACTAATAGAAACGTTATATTTTTATTTATATTTCTATATCAACATCAATATCTTCTCTTTAAAAAGTTGCATAAACAATAATACTGTAAAATATTTTGAAATTGTAAGAAAATATTTCTTACTTGCAAGCTTCTTAATCACATCAAACTCTTACTTTTAATCGCATATATATTATTTAATCGTGACAATGGGTTTTTTTGCGTTTTTTTAACTACTGAACTGCTTTTATTTAAAAATTGTATGCCAAGCTTATTAGATGCAATATAATTAACACTGCAGTTTGGTATATTTTTTGCGGCTAAAAACAAATTCAATTACCTATGCAGGTATCACATCGCAAAGGTCTACCCCATGTGATTTATTGTCGTGTATGGCGTTGGCCTGATCTACAAAGTCATCATGAATTGAAGCCTTTGGAACTATGTCAGTTTCCATTTAGTGCAAAACAAAAAGACGTTTGTATAAATCCGTATCATTACAAGAGAGTTGAAAGTCCTGTTCTTCCACCAGTTTTGGTGCCACGACATTCAGAATTTGCACCAGGACATTCATTGCTACCATTTCAGCAGATCTCAGAACCTAACATGCCCCACAATGTTAGCTACTCGAATAACGGATTTAATTCCCAACATAATGGTCCTCAAAGTCCTATATCATCTGTTCCAAGTCCCGGTTCCATAAATTCGAATCCACAAAGCCCTTACAGTGGTTTACCTGAAACTCCTCCTCCTGCTTATAGCCCTCATGAAGACAATGGTAATGTATCGCCAGTGGATAATGCTATGGAAGTTGCTCCTGTTAGTTATCAAGAACCAGCTTTTTGGGCAAGCATAGCATATTATGAGCTTAACTGTCGTGTAGGTGAAGTGTTTCATTGTAATTCACACTCTGTGATCGTAGATGGTTTTACAAATCCATCTAACAATTCAGACAGATTTTGTTTAGGACAGCTGAGCAATGTAAATCGAAATAGCACAATAGAAAATACTCGTAGACACATAGGTAAAGGTGTTCATCTATATTATGTGGGTGGAGAAGTTTATGCTGAGTGTTTATCTGATTCAGCAATTTTTGTTCAGAGTAGAAATTGCAATCATCATCATAATTTTCATCCAAGCACTGTATGTAAAATACCATCTGGTTGTTCTCTTAAAATATTCAATAATCAAGAATTTGCACAGTTACTTTCACAAAGTGTTAATCATGGTTTTGAGGCCGTTTATGAATTAACCAAAATGTGCACTATACGAATGAGTTTTGTAAAAGGATGGGGTGCTGAATACCATCGACAAGATGTAACTAGTACACCTTGTTGGATAGAAATACACTTGCATGGTCCACTGCAGTGGCTCGATAAAGTTTTAACACAAATGGGATCACCTCATAATGCCATTAGTTCCGTGTCGTGAGTGAAATATGCTGATTCCCTAAATGGTCTGAAATTACTTTTCTGTGTTTGCCATGATATTATGTGAATGAAATATTGTGAAAATTGAATATATGATAGGTGCATAGGTGATTTTAATGAGAAGTTCTATTGAATTTAATAGTCTAAAATTATTGTTTTAATTCTGACTGACATGATTTGAAATCATACATATTTTACTTGAATATGATATTTTAGGGGAAATTTGTTTTTGTGATGCTTTATTGGGAAGGAGGCAATAAATTGAAATTTAATTCAAATTTTATAGTAAATCTACTAAATAATAAAAAAATAATTAATTTAGTTTAATTTTTGATGCGTAGTTACTAATCATAAACATAATTTGTTCTTGCAGTGATTGTATGAGACAAAAGTGTACTAATATTATTTTGAATATCATAAAATTTAAAAAAAATCTTCCAATAGCGATAATTATAACATAAAATGATATTATTTAAATGATAAGTCTCGAATTAAATATTTTTAATTGACTATGCAATATAAGAATGATTGAAGAGCTGTTGATATTATGTTATATCATAAATATTAATATTTGTTAGCTGTAACTAAAGCAATAAAATATAAGCATTCTATATCCCATATTCAAATATTTTTATCAGCGCTATAATAGTGATTAATTGGTTTTATGTTCTATGATGTGCATATCATATTTTTAAATTCTAATATACTCAATAATACATTTATTGTGTTACAATAATTTACAATATCATAGATTTATAAATAATTTTTCTTCGATATGTTAAGCATTAAAAATACATTTTAGGCAAGATAGTTAAGTTATTAGAATTTAATTAGGTATAGTTATTTCATGTTTTTAGTTTATTGGTTACATATCATTGCAATTATTTTAATAATAATATAGCTTTCGGTTAACGGAATTTTTATGCAAAGATACTTTCACAGCAGCACACCTGTCGTAAGCAAACGTAAATTAATTTTGCTGCTGGTTAGTGCCATTGTTCAAAATCTGTAACATGTTAATGGCAATTAAAGATTTGTAACTTCTGTTATATATATATATATATATATATATATATATATATATATATATAAAAAACATTTTGTTTAGTTTTCTCGATCAATGAACTCATTGTATGAATATCATGACGCGTAATGTAAATATTATAATAAAATTGATGAATGGAGATACATATTTATTTTATACTCGATATACACAACATGCTGTGAACGAATCTCAAATTTTTAGTACCTTGTCATCTTTGTCTTTCTTTGAACCTTTGCTGAGTTTGTAAACAATCTATTGCTAGTTGTGATCAGTACTATTTTTCATTCAGTTGCCTTAACACAGCGACTGCACTATAAGATAAACGCATTACCTATTGAAAACCCACAATATAAAATCAGTAAATTACAAATTTATAGTTATAAAATTTTTATTTCTTTTATCTTCATATTAGAGAGTATATTAGTGCCTCCGTCAGTATCATTATTTAAATGTTTGACTTTTTTTTGAAGTAAGATAATTTAAAACTGCCGGTGCAAATATAAAATCAATTATAGTAGTTTGTAGCGTTTTTGTGGTAATAATAATGAATTTATGCAAGAAAAAAATGCTCCATGTTTTTCTATTCAGGGGTAGAAAATGAATTCATTATAATTATATCAAACCATTATTAAAGTGCTCATGTCCATAGGGAATAATCCGGCCCTCATCACGAGCGGCCTTTGAGCGCGCAGTATCATCAATTGAATCGCTCGCTTACAACGCGGTTCCGTATCGAGCCAATTCGATTCGTACGCAGCTTCAGAAAGTTTTGTACTCTTTTGATTAAATACATAACAAATGTTATAAATAGAAGTAGTTTTTTTATATGAACAATGCATTCGAATTTTTACCTCAATTACTATATCGTTGGCATGCCAATAATACATGAAGAAAATTAGAAAAATGGTTCCCACATATCCCCAAGTTATGAATAGCTCTAAGCCGAATGGTATCTGTAATATATACATAATTATATTATAAATTGTTAAGTAAATATTTGATATTTGCTAATTTGAATGTGTGAAGCTTTTACGAGACGTTTCAAGTTATGGTGATGAAACTCTATAAGGACTCGCGTTGATTATTTTTACGCGACGATCGACCGATTCGTTTATTTATAATTAGGAATAATATGCAAAAATTTTTGTCTATGTTATTGCCAAAAATCCGGAACCCATTGTGAAAATACAAAAATGGTGAGGAAGTTTGGAATTACGCAGTATAAAGCGCACAGAATGTGAAAATAATATATCTAGAATTTAATCTGTATATATTTATGTGAGCAAATGCATTCTTTCGTCGTGCTTTGTGATTATCGAAATCGTTGGTACCAAGAAGAAGAGTATGAATATCCAGAATTGCTTAATGTTCTATCATCAAATGGGTGCAAATTGAATGTAAAAATAAAATGATAAAAGTACAAGAATTAATCTATTACCAAAGACATAGTGAATACTTCTCCGCATAAGATGATTGCAACAATCAAAAAATCCATGTTCATTGGTATATTCATGATGTAACTGATCTTCTCCATCAACCTTGAAACAAAAGTGTTAACATTATTTACTATAAAATTCTAGAATTGAAAAATTTGCATTCATACTTGATTATTTGCAAATGTTCTTCTATAAAATGGATTACGGTTTTATAATGGTCACCGTCGATTGTTAATTGATGAAAGTGTTTAACTTTATAATTATGAATTTCAATTATGCACTGGATGAATGATAAAAGTGAAATAATTAGTGTGTTCCAAATTGGTATCAATGAACCCGCTGTTAAAACCATAAGTTCCAGTATCACAGAAATAAAAATTGTGTTTTCTTCAACTGGCATATTAGGAATATGTACAGCTACGGCAAAAATATCAATTTTTTCTCCAGGCCTATAAAAGTTACATTTATTGCAATTAATAAACCTTCTACGTAATATTCTGATCCAAAAATTAGTGAAGAAACTAAGATACTTACTTTGCGAATACAAACAGTGCCAAAATCACGTATATATTGAACAAAATAACAGTAAAACCTGTAGTGATCAGTACTATTTTAGTTATTACACTGTTTTTTCTTATAAATTTGTTTAAAATAATTTGAATTTCATAATTGTCACTTTCCTGGATATTTTTTATTGTGTTATGTATGTAATTTAATATTTCACAATATTTATTATGGTAAAGTAGTGTTGTCACTCCTTTTATGATTAATGAACTAAACAATAATACTGAACCACCCCTCGACGTTAATCGTAATAAATTGTTTCGATTCTTATAAATATAAAAATATTGAGTAATATTGAATGCCAGCATAAATAATAATATTATGCATCCTTTTAATGCATTCAGTCGTGGAAATTTAGCATTTTTGTAATGAATGAATCCCATAAAATTCAAAGCTGAAATTTAATAAATACATAATATTAATATTGTTATACTAAAATGTATTGTTCAATAATTATTGTCTGCCTTGTATATGTATCTTGACCATTGCGTTTTCCTTTACTTGTGGGTCCATGTTTTGATTGAAATAAACTTTTAAGACATTAGTTCTGTGTATATTTCTATAACATGAATTAATACATAAAGAATTTAAATAAAAAAAATCTTTAACTGTAAATACCGATTGAGATAATTGAATGGATTCTTGAATATTGCGTCGAGTCTTTTAATTTTGGAGAACTGTAAATTATATTAGAAACCCCTTTTCAGACTGTTGTAAGAAATATAATGCTTACTTGTTTATAGTAAATTTAAGATATATATCTTAAATTACTGGAAATATCCAGTGTTATTAAGTATTACTATATCACATTACTTTAACTACCGGAACCTTCCATTAAATTACTAAAAAAATATGTAAAGATAATCCGATAATTTGACATCAAAATAGGTTTGATTTTTTATTCATAATATAATAAGAAAATTATAAAATAATGTGTGTGTTATGTGTGCACATATAATGCCACATTCATACGATGATTATATTATACATAATTTACATATGTTTTTATGATTAAACATTATTTAATAACGCACAGATGCATGAAAATATGTTTGATGTAGCAGATTTAGCCTTGTTTGTATATTTAGCTATTTTTTTCTTTGAATTTTAAATAATATAATATTAATTAATAGCATTAAAATAATATTTAATTAAAAAACGATGAATATTCATACTTGTTTATTATAATAAATTTATAAATTTTTAATAAATTTATACATTTTTAATAAATTTATACAATTTTAATAAATTTATACATATTATACCTTTATAAATAGTTTTAAATTTTTTTGTTCCATGTCATTTTTGCCTCTGGTTAAACTTTTGCTGCGTTCTAAACCATATTATATTAAATCCTATTTTTTGAAAAAATAAGAACCCCTTAATTGTTGGTTTTCGATAACTATTAACTTTCATTCAGTTGTCTTAAGAGAGCGACTGCACTATAAGAAGCTCGTGTTATCTAATAAAAATATACAATACGTTAATACTTTCCTCAAAAATATAATACTAATAAAATTATAATATTAAATTTCAATTTCTTCATATCAGAATATATTTACACCTTCAGACAGTTTCATTAATTAAAGGTTGCATTTTTTTATATTTTTGATTTTTCATTATCAATTTGAAGCTGTATTTTTTTTGATAAGTGGATGATATTATTTCAGAAATAAGAAAAATTTGAAATTATTTATTGTATTTGTAGCGAATTGAGATGGTAATAGCCAAGAAAAATATGCTCGTATGATCTATTATGATTATTTAATAGACAAAAGAGTTTTTTTTATATTTATACAAACCATTATTAAAGTGCTCATGTCCATGGGGAACAATCCAGCCCTCATCATGAGAGGCCTTTAAGCGCGCAATATCATCAGTTGAATTGCTCGCTTACAACGCGGTTCCGTATCAAGCCAATTCGATTCGTACGCAGCTTCGGAAAGTTTGGCACTCTTTCGAAATATATAGTATTTATTATAAATAGTAGTAGTAGATTTATGTGAACAATGTATTCGAACTTTACCTCAACTACTATATCGTTGGCATGCCAATAATACATGAAGAAAATTAGAAAAATTGTTCCCAAATATCCCCACGTTATGAATAGTTCCAAACTTAACGGTATCTGTAATATAGACAGGGTAATATTATTAATTTATGTGAATTCTTGCCTACGTGGAATGTGTGTTAGAGGTATTTAGATTTCTAAAAAGAAGTTTGTTTTCGCCAAAAAATCCGATTTGCTTATTTTGTTTTTTTTTTTTGACGGTTCAAGTCTCTGTCGATAAAACTCGACATAGAGGTTGAGATCAGTTTTGGGCGATGATCGACCGAGCTGTTTCTTTATAATTAGCCGATACATGCAAAGAATTTTATCCATGACAAAATTATTAAGACTACAAAAACTGTTAGGATGTTGTTATCAGTTGGAAATAGTTTCATCTATCTTTGTCGTCTTCTGATACTAAGGAGGCCAAGAAGACGATAAAACATATTTCTAAAGAATACAGCTATAATATATTAAAACAATTACATGTATGAATTATAATAATTTTTCTGAAATCGATACTAGTTGGGAGTTGAAGATCTCTGATACGTACATCGGTTATTATTTATAAACCAGAATTACTTAATGCCTTATCATCGGATGAGTGTAAATTGAACGCAGAAATAAAATGATAAAATCAAGAATTAGCATATTACCAAAGGCATAGTGAATATTTCTCCACATAAAATGATAGCAACAATCAAAAAGTCCATATTCATTGGTATTTTTATGATGTAACTGATGTTCTCCATCAACCTAGAAAAATTATTTAGTTTGAACAAAATTCCAGGATTAAGAAATTAGTATTCATACTCGATTATTTGCAAATGTTCTTCTATAAGATCAATTATGGTTTCATAATGGTCTCCGTCGATGGTTAATTCATGAAAGTGTTTAACTTTATAATTATGAATTTCAATTATGCACTGGATGAATGATAAAAACGAAATAATTAGTGTATTCCAAATCGGTATCAATGGACCAGCTGTTACAAGCATAAGTTCTAGTATCACGCAAATAAATATTGTGTTTTCTTCTACTGGCATATTTGGAATGTATACAGCTACGGGAAAGAGATCAATTTCTTCTCCAGGCCTATTGAAAATTTTTAATATTAAAAACAAATTGTATGTAATATTCTGTCAAAGACATATTACAATAAATAAAAAATATTCGAGTAATAATCAAGATACTTACTTTGCCAATACAAACAGTGCAAATATCATGTAAATGTTGAACGTGACGATAGTAAAAGCTGTAGAAAGAATTATTGCTTTACTTATTACATTATTTTTTCTTATGAATTTATTTAAGATAAGTTGAATTTCTTGATTGGCAGTTTCTTGATTATTTTTCATTGTACTATGTATATAATTTAGTATTTCACAATATTCATTGTGGTAAATTAGTAATGTCACTCCTTTCATGGTTAATGAAGTAAACAAAAATACTGAACCACCTCTCGACGTTAATCGTAATAAATTGTTTCGATTTTCGTAAAGATAAAAATATTCAGTAATATTGAATGCTAGTATAAATAACATAATTAAGTATCCTCTTAATATATTCAATCGTTGAAACTTAGCATCTTTGTACTGAATCAACCCCAACAAATTCAAAACTGTAATTTAATAAAAACTATTAATATTAATATACCAATTGAAATGCTTAATATTTATTGTTTGCCTTGTAAATTTATCTTGACTATTGCGTTATCCTTTACTTGAGGGTCCATTGATATAGGTTTTATCGCCTTAGCACGGTATATATATTTGTAACTTTAATATTAATACACGAAAAATTTAAATTAAAAAAATGTAAATATAAATATCACCAATTCAAAGAGTTAAATATTTGGTTGATTATTGCTCGAATTATGTGACTTTTCTTTAATATTCGAATTAGCTAAAAATGATATTTAAAACCCACCAACTAACTGTCATGTGAAATGAATGCTTATTTTTTTCATAATAATTTTATATAATATGGAAATATTGAATGTTACTATAAAACAATAATTTAACTACCGGAGCTTTTCATTACAGTACTAAAAAATTAATTAAATATAATCGATAAGTTGGCATAAAAATTGCTTTGATTTTTTATTAATGATAGTACACAAAGAATTGACATAATAAATCGCAGATATAATCCCACATTCATATGATTATATTTTGCATAATTTACATGTTCTTATAAATTCTTTAACATACATTATTTGCGCATCTGACATCAAATTAAAATTTCAATTGCTATTTCAAGTTATTGCTGTCGGTTAACAAATAAAACTGAATTGTTAATAATTATTGTTTGTCTTGTAAATTTATCTTGATTATTGTATTATCCTTTACTTGAGGTTTTGCCACATTTTTATATATATTATCGTTTTATTATAATAGAAGAAAAAATTAAATTTAGATAAATAAAAATTTAACTGTAAATATCACCAATGGGTAAATTAGTTCGTTGAATACCGCGCCGAAGTGTACTAAAACTTTTTTCCAACTGTTGCAAGAAATATGATGTACATTTATATAAATAAAAAAATTATTTATTTATTTATATCTTAAATTAGTGGAAATATTAAGTGTTCTTGAGTATGAATCACTTTAGATTAACTACCGGAAAATTCTATTATATAAATATAATCCGATAATTTGGCATAAAAATAGGTTTGATTTTTTATTCATGATATGAGGAATTTACCAAATCTAGTATGTGTTTTTTATAGCCTCATATAATTACACACATTCATGTGAAGATTATAATTTATAAGTTTTTATAAATTTTTTAACATATATTATTGGCACATATAGAGATCAAATTAAATTATTTTTTACGTTTCAATTATATGAATTTTATCATGAAATTGATAAATAGTAATAATAGAAATATATTTTTCTTTTATATTTTTAGAATATATTATACTTGATAGAACATATTATTTATTTTTTAACTTCCCGTAGGGTAAGTTATTGTAATCGTCAAAAAATCGGAATTGAAAATTTTTACATTTCTTCACGTTTTGAAGGTTTCTGAACATTTTGGCATACCTCAGAAAAAATGGATGTGTGTGTATGTATGTATGGATACAAATTTTCGTCCACGTTTTCGGCCGCACTGATCAACCGATTTGAATGGTTAAAAAAACATTCGATTCCTATTGATAGGGAGATGTGCTGATTAGTTTTTGGCAAAGGCAGTTCGAGCAGTTACGGAGATAAAGAGCAAAGAGTGCAGGAAATAGAAATAGAGTTTTTGAGAGAACGGAGCACCCGATTTGAATGATCTAAAAAACATTCAATTTGTAATGATTGTGAGAAGTGGTTATTAGTTTTTGGTAAAGGCAGACCCAGCCATTTCGAAAATACAGAGCTAAATGTGCAAAAAATGGCAGTTTTTGAAGGAACTAAGCTTCCGATTTAAATGATTCAAAAAAATTCTGCCTTTAACACAATAATTGATTTTGGAAAAAAAAATTGTTTCAAAATTATTTTTTAAATTTTTTTTTTCAAAAAAAATTTTTTTGTATATCGAAAATAATTCAGATTAAATTTAATTCTGACTAAAGTTCTAATAAGCTTTAAACAAATAATTTCAACTTTGCAATTCATTTTATATAATTCTTATAAATATTAGACAATGTTACAATATTTATAATATAATCTATCTGAAAACATTCAATATTCCTCGAACATTTCGTTACGGTACGGGAAGTTTCAGCAATTTGCCTTAAGGCACGATGCCATACACCCCACTAGTTTTATTCTCTATTTTATTCACAATTGTCCAATTAAGGACATTTAATAAATTTGGATAATTTACAATTGTCAACCGTACAGGAACATTGTACACTAAATTGACTTGTTAGAAAACAACTATATCTATTGATAATCTCGATTATTTACTTAACAAATAATTTCTTATAAATAATGACTAAGTTATTTCAATCTTCATCAGGAAAATTGATGACTTAAATCCAGTGGCGCTTTTCTTTTCAATCTACGTCGATAGTTCTCTATTATAAAGGAGTTTGCTAGTGAACATATTATGATCGAATCTTTATAAATAATTTTGAATTGCTAGTATTATATCATCTTTGCTGATTTCTAAACCATATCATTAAATTTTTTGTCAATTTGATTTTGTAAACAATCCGTCGCTGATCTGTACTAATTTTCATTCAGTTGTCTTAAGAGAGCGACCGCGCTGTAAGATGATCGCGTTATCTGATGAAAATATACAATACGTTAATATTTTGCTTAAATAAATTAACTAGCAAAAATTAAATTAATAATATTTAAAGCAAAAATAAAATTAATAATTAATGCTATGGTGCAAATATGTAATCAATTATTATATTTGTTGCGAATTGAGGTTATAAATATCAAAAAAATAATGCACGTGTGATTTATTATATGATGAAAGTAATTTTTTTAGATTTAGATCTATTCTTTATATTTATACAAACCATTATCAAAGTGCTCATGTCCATGGGGAATAATCCAGCCCTCATCATGAGAGGTCTTTGAGCGCGCAGTATCATCATTTGAATCGCCCGCTTACAACGCGGTTCCGTATCAAGCCAATTCGATTCGTACGCAGCCTCGGAAAGCTTAGTGCTCTTTAGTAATAATATAGTTAATAATAGTAGTGGATTTATATGAACAATGCATTTGAACATTACCTCAATTACTATATCGTTGGCATGCCAATAGTACATGAAGAAAATTAGAAAAATTGTTCCCACATATCCCCAAGTTATGAATAGCTCTAAGCCGAATGGTATCTGTAATATGTACTCGATAATGTTATAAATTATTAAGTAAATATTTTCCTACATGGAAGGTATGTTTGACGTTTTCAACTCTTTGTAGTAGAAGTTTTGTTTTCGCCAGAAAATCTTATTTGCTAATTTTGTTGTCTTGGTATTTCAAGTCATGTTGATAAAACTTATTAAGAACTCGCGCTGTTCAGTTTCAAGTGACGATCTGCTTTTTTATAATTAGCAGATAAATGCAAAAAAATTGTACGTGTTTTAGCCAAAAATTCTGATTTGATTTTGAAGTTGCAAATAGCTGATACAGTTAGGAATTGTAAAATGGAAATGTTGCTGTTTTACGAAATGTAAAAAAAATAATGGCAATAACATGATTTTGAAATCTGAACTTCAGAAAACAGTATTAACCTTTGTCAAATTCAATAATAAATTTTTGAAATTTATTTTGAATGTTGGTTATCAAAATCTTTATTCGTTTTTGATACGAAGTTGTCAATCAAATATTAAAACAAAATAATGTGGTGAAATAATTAAGTAATTGTTAAAATTAAAATATCTCTCTTACGTGTGTTGGCAATATATAAACCAGATTTATCTAATGTTTTATGAATAATAATAGTTCAAAAATTAATGTGTTACCAAAGACATAGTGAATATTTCTCCACATAAAATGATTGCAACAATTATGAAGTCCATGTTCATTGGAATTTTTATTATGTAACTGATGTTCTCCATCCACCTTTAAACAAAAGTTTGAATTTTATTTAGTTCGAATAAAATTCCATAATTGAAAATTTTGCACTCATACTTGATTATTTGCAAATGCTCTTCTATTAAATGGATTATGGTTTTATAATGATTTCCGTCGATTGTTAATTCTCGAAAGTGTTTAACTTTATAATTATGAATTTCAATTATGCACTGGATGAATGATAAAAACGAAATAATTAGTGTGTTCCAAATTGGTAGCAATGGACCCGCTAACAATAGCATAAGTTCTAGTATCACAGAAATAAATATTCTGTTTTCTTCAACTGGAACATAGGGAATGTAAAAAGCTACGAATGAAACATGAATTTCTTCTCCAGGCCTATTGAAAAGTTAAATTTGTTGCAATTAATAAATTTATGTAATATTAATATAATTAAGATACTCACTTTGCAAATACAAACAGTGCAAATATCATGTAAATATTGAACATGATAGCAGTAACAGCTGTAGAGATTATTACTGTTTTAGTTATTACATTAGTTTTTCTTACGAATTTACTTAAAATAAGTTGAATTTCATAATTGTCACTTTCTTGAATATTTTTTATTGTGATATGTAGATAATTTAGTATTTCACAATATTTATTGTGGTAAATTAGCATTGTCACTGTTTTCACGATTATTGAACTATACATGAATACTGAACCGCCTCTCGTCGTTAATCGTAATAAATTGTTTCGATTCTCATAAATATATAAATATTGAGTAACATTGAATAATAGTATTAATAATAAAATTAAGTATCCTCTTAATGTGTGCAGTCGTTGAAATTTAGAATTTTTGTAATAAATCAACCCCATCAAATTGAAAACTGAAATTTAATAAATAATATCAATATTAATTTATTAATTGAAATAGTTATTATAATTATTATTTGCCTTGTAAATGAGTCTTGGCTATTACGTTATCCTTTACTTGAGGGTCCATTGAACTAGCTTTTATCTAGTTAGTATAATATATATATATATATATATATATATATATATATATTTGTGATTTTAATAATAATGTATAAAAAATTTAAATTTAGATAAAATAAATGTAAATGTAAATGTCACCGATTCAAAGAGTTAAATATTTGTTTGAATATAGCGCGAGTTATATGGTGACCTTACTTTAATCTTTGAATGGACTATAGATGATATTTAAAAACCACCAGCTAACTGTCATATGAAAAATAATGTATTTATTCCATAGTAAATTTGTATAATATACATGGAAATATTCAGTGCTATCGAATATTACTATAAAACAGTACTTAAACAACCGGAACATTTCATTATACTACTAAAAAATTAAATAAAGATAATCGATAGATTGTCATAAAAATGCTTTGATTTCTTATTCATGATATGTCTTTCGTATCCACATATAATTCCACATACATTTGATGATTACATTCTTACAAATTCTTTAGTATACCTATACTACTTGCGTTTATAAAATCAAATTCGAAATTAAATTTCTTTATCAATTCACCAAATTATTATCCATGTATTTATTTATATAAATTCTCTGAGATCGGAACGAATACACGTCTTAAGCGAGAATGTGTATTATGCGCGGTAGGAAAATATATATATTATCTATCACTAATTATTATTTTTTATATTCTGATATTGGTGTATGTAGGTATTAAATTAAATATTTATGAAATGCGTTAAATACGTATTGTAATTATAATTATCATTAACATTACTACTTACAGAACTAGCCCAGTCTGGGAGAGTCGTTTCTATTTACTTGCTTTACCATTACTTAAGCTCATTTTTTCTGGAATACTTTGGATTATCTGGCTACAATTTTAAAAACAAATTTAAAATTATTTATAGCTAGTGATGACTTTAGTCAATATTTCTCAAGCTTTTTTCTCTATGGAAACCTTCAGAGGTTTTTATTTATTTTTGCGTTCGTAAGTTGGATCATCATTGTCCAGAGGCCCAGTGTAATTGATAAAAATTGCATTCAAATAGAAGTTTTTCTAATTTATCAAAATTTCCTAAATTTTGTTACCTCCTGCTATATTTTTCTTCATTTTTTTTACATTCATATATTTATTATTCTCTTAAAATTCCTAAAAAAAATTGCAACGTAGTAAATGGTGAGTAAAAATCAGTAGCTAACATCTTTATGGGCTTTTTGTGATCTTTTATCGAATATTTTCAACATCTCATTTTTTGCTTTTGCTTTTTTAAACGAAATAACAAATCGTATTAAGCGTGTGAAATATGTGTAAATTATAAGGACTGTCGTAAAATGGTCTATTTTTTTTTAAATTTAAAAATGATCATCTTAATAAAATTATGTAATTAAGCACATGATTACCAAAATACATACGTAAACCAAGCTAAATTTGCCTTACGAAATCATTAAAGGGGTTACAAATGTTGAGTCAGGGTCGAGTTTTGGGAAATAATCTCTTAGAAAAGAGTTGAATTCAGGGAAAGAGATCCATTTTTTTAAATAAATTTTTATACTTGTTTATTATAATAAATTTATACATTTATAATTTATTATGTATACACATATATATATATATATATATATATATATATATATATATAATTCAGATTTTTTTCTTCGGCGTTGAGACATATTCTTAAATGTTAATTTTTGCAGCCAATCATCGAAATAAAAGAACAATAAATAATGACTATTTAAAACGTATTTAATAAATACGTTTTGACACGGTATGTGTGTCATATTACTCATTGTAATGCATTATTTTATACTTGATAAATAGAACATATTATGATCTTCAATTTTTAATACGTTAACACAATTGTGATCTTGGTCTTTGGTTGAACTTTTTCTTGATTTCTAAACCATATTCTTAAATTCCTTATTTTGCATTTGTAAACAATCCTTGATTATTTGTGATCGGTACTAATTTTCATTCAATTGTTTTAAGATAGCGACAGCACTATAAGACAGGCGAATTACCTAATGAAAACATTAACAATTATTATTCTTTCTTTTGTCTTCATATTAGAGTATATTAGTACTTCAGTCAGAGTAAATAGTTAAATGTTTTAATATTATTTTGAAGTATATTTTTTTTATAATAAGAAGAAGGTGATATAATTTCAAAAGTTTGAAAAATTAAAATTGTCTGAACAAATATAATAATACTTGTAGCGTTTTGTGGTAGGTGATCATCAGTGATCATATGATGAATTTATACAAGAAAATAGTGCAGATGTGATTCATTACGTTTATCTATTAAACAGACGATTTCTTTTAAGTTTAAATACAAACCATTAGTAAAGTGCTCATGTTCATGGGAAATAACCCAGCTCTCATCATGAGCGGCCTTTGAGCGCGCAATATCATCATTTGAATTGCTCGCTTACAACGCGGTTCCGTATCAAGCCAATTCGATTCGTACGCAGCTTCGGAAAGTTTCGTACTCTTTCGATTAAATATATTACAAATGTTTTAAAAATAGTAGTAATTTTATATGAACAATTCAATCGAACTTTACCTCAATTATTATATCATTCGCATGCCAATAATACATAAAGAAAATGGTGAAAATCGTTCCCACATATCCCCAAGTTATGAACAGCTCTAAGCCAAATGGTATCTGAAATAGGAATTTTGATAGAAAAACAATCAAAAGTGGGTTGTACAAACTATCACCAAATTATCGCAAATTGAATGTGAAAATAAAATGACCGTAGTTTAAGAATTATTGCATTACCAAAGACATTGTGAATACTTCAGCGCACAAAATAAGTGCAACAATCAAAAAATCCATGTTCATTGGTATCTTTATGATGTAACTGATGTTCTCCATCAACCTTAAAATAAATTATGAATAATAATATTTAGTTAAAATGAAATTTCATTATTGAAAACTCATCATCCATACTTCATTATTTGCAAATGCTCTTCTATAAAATGGATTATAGTTTTATGATGGTCATCATCGATTGTTAATTCATGAAAGTGTTTAACTTTATAATTATGAATTTCAATTATGCACTGGATGAATGATAAAAACGAAATAATTAGTGTATTCCAAATTGCAATCAATGGACCCACTATTATAATTAAAAGTTCCAGTATCACAAACATATAAATTGCGTTTTCTTCAATTGGCATATTGGGAATGTATACAGCTACGGCAAAAATATCAATTGTCTCTCCAGGCCTGTTGAAAAATTAATTTTTTTGAAAATAAATTTTATGCTTTTATGTAGTATTAGGATTGAAAAATATTATATTTGATCTAAATCGTTAGAGAAGAAATTAAGATGCATATACTTACTTTGCAAATACAAACAGTGAAAAAATCATGTAAATGTTGAATACGATAACAGTAAAAGCAGCAGAGATCATAACTGCTCTAGTTATTACATTATTTTTTCTTATACATTTACTTAGAATTAGTTGAATTTCGTAATTGTCACTTTCTTGAATATTTTTCATAGTTATATGAAGATAATTTAGTACTTCGCAATATTTATTGTGGTAAATGAGTATTGTAAGCCCTTTCATGATTAATGAACTATACATGAATACTGAACCACCTCTCGAGGTTAATCGTATTAAATTGTTTCGATTTTCATAAATATAAAAATATTGAGTAACATTGAATAATAGCACATATAATAAAATTAGGTATCCTCTTAACACATTCAATCGTTGAAATTTAGCATCTTTGTAGCGAATTAACCCCATTAAGTTCAAAACTGAAATTTAATAAATTAGATTAATATCAATATACTAATTGAAATATTGAATAATTGTTATTTGCCTTGTAAATTAGTCTTGACTAATGCATTATTTTTTATTCGAGGGTCCATATTTTAAATTAAAATAAGCTTACTATTACATTTGAACGGTGTATCTTTAATAGTGTTACATAAAAAATTTGATTTTTTTTTCAAATGTTAATAACGTCACCGATTGAGATAGTTAAATAGTTTACTGAACATCTCGTCGAATTATAGTTCAACCGTTGAAAGAAATATAATGCATACTTTTTCATAGTAAATTGATATAATATATTTATGGAAATATTTGAATATTTCCACATTACAATCGAGTAATATTCGAGCACATTACTTTAACTACCAGTAATTTTCATTATATTATTAAAAAAATATATAATTCGATAATTTGGCTCAAAAATACATCTGATTTTTTATTCATGGTAGTATATAAAGAATTTACATAAAAAAATGTATAGTCAGTCTTCTATGTTCACTTATGAACCCACATTCATATAATGATTACTTTATACATATTTTACATATATGATCTTACATTTTTTTTAAATCTTTTGCGTATTCAGATCAAATGAAAAATTAAATTTGATTACTAGGTAACATTTTTGTTTTTATTATATATACATTCATATATAAATCAAATTATTTTCTCAAAATCTCCCAACAAAACCTGATATTATAATATTTTTATTAGAAGTAATTTCATGATGTGGTAAAATAGTCAATTATTTTCAATAATTTACTTATTTCAGATTTCTACTTTTACATCTGTTTTACTCTCTTTATCATAATAATTTTAGGATTTTTTTCTTTCTTAATCATATTAAATATTAATTTAATGTTAAATTTAATATTAATGATAAATTCACTTAAATTAAATATTAATTTAAGTGAAGATGATATAAACAAAACTCAAAAATTATATACTACGGAACAAATCTAAATATAGAATTGACTAAAATAAATCATATATCAATATGGCTGAAATAAATCATATATCAATATGACTGTAATAAATCATTCAGCTATAACTTTAAAAATTTATGTCTGCATATTGGGTTATTTCTTTCTTAGAACTTATTGCAAAAAATATTATCAAATAACAATAAATATTAATATTTATTTATTATAATAATTTTATGCAAGTATAATTAATTAGTATTTAATTAATTACTTAGAGTTATTAATTACTTGAACCGAGATTCTTATCGTGGATTTGCTGTAAATGCTTTGTTCTTATAGAAATTTTTATTTGAAATATTGAAAATAGAAATAGAATAGATAGAAATAAATATAATAATATATAAATAAAAATAAATAAATAAATATATTTATTTGAAACATTTGAAATACACTTAATATTCAAATAATATTAATCTAATAACATCAATGGACATCAATCCTTGAATAGTTTTATGCTTTTCATTGAATAAATGAAAAAAAAATTATTTGCTATAAAGTTATTTTCATGTGATGTGATTTTATAGCCAAGTACAATATTTTTTAACTAATTAGGTAGTTTTTATGATATCATACTGTATTGATAATTTAAATAAATCACAATTATTTTTATCTGAATTAAATTTTGAAGTAAATTCATGAGCCTTCGTGCAAATGTCTGAGCAAAGCTAATGCACTATAAGCCGTTCGCAATATCTAAAATAGAAATTAATTAATTAATAATGTAATTTATAAAATCCTTCATTTTAAGTTTATACCAGTATAACAGTTCGTAAATTCATGGGTTGGAAAAAAGCTCTCATCATAAGCGCTTTTTGGGATCTTTGTATCATTAGCTGAATTGCACGTTTGCAACTCGGATCCAAATCTATCCAATTTGATGAAAATGCGGAGTCACATATACTATTGCTCTAGTAATAAAACATATACTTTTTTACGACCAATATAAAATTTAAATAGATCATTGTATTTACAAAATGATTATTGTTTAGGCCATTTTTGCATACAACTTACTTCAACCAGAATATTATTAGCATGCCAATAGTACATAAAGAATATAGTAAACATTGTGCCAATGTATCCCCATGTAATGCACATCTCCAAGCCAAATGGCATCTGTTAAATAAATCATAAAAATTTTATAAATTATGATGATTATTTAAAAAAATATTATGTTTTTTCATACCAGCATGATGACGAAAAGTTCTGCGCATAATATAAGTATGATGATTAAAAAGTCCAAATTTAAAGGAATGCTTATCATACGGTTTATACCTGTTGTGATCCTAAATTTAAAAAATGGTAATTTTTGATAATCGTTATATATACATATACATATATATATATATACTAGCTGACCCGACAGACGTTGTTCTGTACTCATGTCTACAATTTTTCAATTTTTTATACTAATATTTACTGCTTAGTTAAAAATAATAATTACTGTTTTTTGAATTACTATTTACACCAATATATGAGTGATGTTGAATGTAGAACTATTTCAAATAAAATGATTGTTCTCAATTCCCACAGTTAACACTTTAATTATTCATTTAACAAATATTAAAAAACGTTCAATAAAATTGTATATTAAAAATTATACAATGCGATTTATAGAACAAATTTATTTCCAATAGCTCAATTTATTTTATTGCATTTAAGGGTTATATAGTATTTTTAGTCATACCTGTAGATGTGATGTATAAATGAATGATTTTTTGTTTATTCACGACTAAAACATCGATTTTCCAAATTTATCACACTAAAAATGATCGTCTGCCTTTGTGATTTATGTCACAGCATAAGATACACGTGTTGAAAATTGAAATCTTTAAAAAGTACAACAAATTCAGAAAGAATTAATATATAGCATTCGCGGCAAAGGTGCAATATCACCTTTTATTTTTTTACCCAAAATATATGCTTCAATAATGTTGCCTATAATTTTTATAATTTCGTACCATATTTTAACTGGCTTTTAGTAATTTTAATATATAAATTACATTTTTTTCTCCAATAAATCAATATACATTATTGCTTAAGTTTATATTTGAAGTGAATTAATTTGTCAAATCCTGTTCACATGTGCTCTATTCAACTTACAATCAACAAAATTATTGCTCTGTGAATTTTTTTACTGTGCTCCAATTTACTTGATATTTTGGAAATAGGCTAATCTTTATCTTAATTTCAATGTTTTTAACAATTTGCACTCCGTCACCATCCACAGCATTAATTGGATTATTACTCTTTTAATTCTGATTTTATCAGAACTTGTAATACACTATTTTAAAGGTGATTAAATGAGCTACAACTTTCTCTATCATTAATTTTACCGTAACTTCTCTTATTGTAAAACGGCAAAGGGTTAAAGGGCTCGAAAGACCTCTGGTTGGACAGCTCCTTAATTAATCATACATCTATCAATATTTGTGTAACAAAAAAATAATAAACATTAATAATTAGTCAGAAAAATACCTCGAATTTTCTTATATATATACTTTTATACGTATTCTTTCAGAGGTATTATGATGAGAAATTGGTTGTTTTTTTATAAATGTGTTTTTTTTTTTCATGAAATTATGAGTTTTTTGAGAATCATTTGTACTAAAGTTGTGGTATTTTCTAGAATCCATCAAGATCTCTTAAACCAAGTTAATTCTAGAATACGATTATTTTTAATTTTGGTGGATATGGCACTCAAAGTATTTGATTTAAATGAAAAAAAAAAAACATTGCATGCGTCCTTTATCTGCATGATAGCTCACTCATTTTACACGCAGAAGTACTCATTTTAAAGCTTATTTTGAGCACTATAAAAACCCATTTTCATATCTAGCCTAATAATGTTCCTAAAACACTATAAAATAACGATTTATTAAGATTTTAATTGATATAATTCTGTTCATTACATGATTTTCGTTAAAATGTATATTTTTGAAGGTGTTAGCAAAAAATGATGAAAAACGCAAAAAAGAAACAAATATTCAGTAGCCAGTAACTTGAAAAGTATTTCCTTTTTTGAAAAACATTATTAAATATTTTTCTCGTATAATTAGTTTTTTATCAATACCCAACGTTATTTTGGAAAAAAGTAAAAATACACCACTGAAAAGAAATGTCATCCACCCGAGAAGTGGTAAAGGAGTCTAAATTGTTTTCACTTCTGAAGAGTAAGATGAACCTAGTTCCAAAATTCCAAACGAATTGGAAAATAGTAAAAATTTCAGACCCAAAGCGCTCCATTGAGTAAATATTCCGTACCCAATGACAAACATATGAATTTTTGACACAATGAAATTTCTAAATATTTTTTTTTGTATTGTGACTTAGTATAGTAAGGCAAAACGACTGAAAATTGAATATGTTTGAGCGCAATCACTTATGGCTCGCTCCTTTGCGCGAATTCGTACGGCGAATCTGTTCGCAAAGTGCGCAAACAAAATTATTGCAAGCAAAAGCAAACCACGCGCACGTCAGACGCATGCGCAGACTGCATCACTTGTCAAATGCATGTTATATTATTTGCATCTTATATTAATTTAATTTTTGGCACATCTCAGCTGCTTTTCGGCATTAATAATGTAGACATTACATTTTCCTTATTCATAATTATGAATTCATTATATTCTAATATTGCCTTAGCCTATAAGTGAATAGAAATGTTTGGCAAATGACAGTCCTCAATTGTTTTTAATGTCAAACTAAGCTTCAAATATTTTCAAGGGCAGACAATGATAAGCGGTTTTTTGTAATTTTTTCTATTTATTTCTACAATTTAACTATATTTCTATGAATCAAAACATTCTAAAAAATTTCCCGAACAAACTTCAGGAAGATTCATGAAAATCCGAATTATAGTTTAGGAGGAAATATGAAACTTACATTGTTACAGAAGAATTTTATATATAAGATATATATATATATATATGTGAATTTATTTATTTAAAATATTCTTACCTTATTATTTTTAAATGCTCTTCAATGCAATTGATCAAATACTGGTACGTGTTCGTATACTTTTCATCGCAGAATTCTTGTAAATTTTCGATTTTATATTTAAGAATTTCGATTAAACATTGCACATACAGAAATATCGATATTATCATAGTATTCCAGATTATTAAAATTGGAACAAATATAGATAAAACAATCACTAAATATAGAAATACTATTAATCTGTGGTTTTCTATCTCGAAGGGTAAATATAAAGCAATCGCCAATATTTCGATTTTTTCACCAGGCCTGGAAAAGAAAAATAAAATTTTTATATAATACGTTCTATAACACGTTTATTTTTGAATAATATAATTTTGTGATTTATTATAGTTTATTACAAAACCAAGAAATAATTAGTTTCTGCACTAATTTTCTTCATAAAAATGTAATTATCAGGTGGACTTGCCTTAAATTCGTGCAAAGTATGAAGATTGTCTTTAATTTAAAATGCATTTAAACATTTTATTTTATGTGGTTTAAAATTTTTGCAACATATGTAAATAATTAAATTTGAATGTATTATTATTTTTATCACTTACCTATATAATATAAAAAATACTAAAATCAGGTATGCATAAAATAAAACCATAGATACACCTGTGATACTGCTGACAATTTTTGTTAAACCACTATTTAATTTCACATACTTCTCCAGAATATTTTTAAGAGCTTGGTTTCCATAATTATCTATGTATTTCATTGTATTAACTAAATCTTCAAAAATTTCATTAAATTTTTGGCGATAAATAACTGAAACCATTGCTTTTGATACTAGAGAGGAGTATAAAACGACTGTTCCTCCTCGAGCTATAAGAAGCATTGGATTTTTTAAATTAAAATACACAAATAAATATTGTGATATATTAAAAATTATCATAAATGTTAAAGATAAATAAGATTTGAATTTGTCTATATAAATCCATTTGGTGGAGTCAAAGTAAACGAAACCGTACACGTTTAAGCCTGAAAATTTAAATTTAATTTTATGAAAAATATATTTTCTACAATTTCTATTTTATGTTTATAATGAACCTCGTAAATGCACTCCTATAAAGCGATTATTTTTCAAATTTGAATCCATTCTATTTTTACAACACGATGGTGTTACCTGCAATCGTTCGTGAAAAGTATTTAATAAAACTGATCTATTTTTTGTGCATGGAAAAATACTTTGCTGAGAGCATTGGCGTATCAATTTTATTTTTGCTAAAAATATTATATGTAAGTTTTAAATCTTATATATAATAAAAATAAATTGATACGTCTACGCAATACAGACTTGTAAGTTGATATGTTATATCTAAGTTTTGCTACTAAATACTTCCCCAAAAAGAAGTTTATGTTTATGCTAGAAAGGCTGAGATGCTAATTTTATTTCTCGGCGTTTCAAGTCATTTTGAATCGTTTGACAAAATTGTTGGCAAAAGTGTGTGTTTCAAACTAAAATTTTACATTTCGTCGATGCTTTCTCAAAAAACGACTACATCAAAAATCAAAATTCATTTTATGAAATTCTATAAAGACTGAAGAATACATCTATAAAAAATTCGTTTTGGGCGACAATTGTTTGAGCCGTTTCATCAAAATTAGCAGAAAAGTGCAAAAAGTTTTGTTTACATTTTTACCAATTTGGAAAGTTTGGAAGCTTCCAAAGATATCAGGGCTGATTGTTTCTTCGTATAATTAAAAGTCCAGCCAGATGCTTTGACGATTTTAATGAAACTTTGCATATATATAGAGTTTATGGTATAAAAGATTATAGGCCTACTAAAACTTATTTAATTATAAAAATTGAATTAAAATATATTTTTATAACATTTGGAATATAGTTATTTTCAATTTTTCTGCTTAATACTTTTACTAAAAAAAATTATGTATAACGATTTTAAGGTCTGAATTTATTTTGTTTAAAGACTATGGTTAAATATAAATAAAATTTCTGTTATTTTTAAAATCTTGAACTATTATGAGTAACTATTAACTATGGATATAAAAAATTATGATATGTAAAATTAAATTCCACATACATATTTTTTTATTTATATAAATTACAATTTGTCTTAATTAATGAAATTCAGTAATTGATTTATAATAATTTACAATATTAATGTTTGAAAGGTTACTTGTTGGTAGGTTCAATACAATAACTAATTAAATCTACACGTAATATAATTATAATTATTCATTAAAATAAAAATACATTTGTATTTAATGTTGACATTTCAAAATGTCCTGTAAAGTAATTTTTCACTCATTCATTCATCATTATTATATGTTTATGAGGTCAAACAATCACGTTATCAAAAAATACTAGTTAATAGGTGTAATCATTGTCTTCCATATATTATGCCGAATATCAAATAGTTTAAGTACATGGAACCAATATATAATTTACGATCTTGAATCGCGCAGGATAATATGTGAAATTACTTTTGAATAAATAACGAAATCGAATCAATTTTATGTGTTACTATAATTTACAATGATATGTGATTAACTTTACAAAGAAGAAGTTTATGTTTTCGCCAGAAAATTCTTTTTGTCCATGTTATATTTCTCTACATTTAAAGTCATTCTGAATTATTTGTATCAAATTGGGATATGCATGAAAAACTTTGTTATCTATGGATTTTTCTTTTTCTTTTCCTTTACGATTTTTCATTCAAATGCTGCAGCAGAGCTAATCCACTATAGGTCATCCGGAGTATCTGAAATAATGATAAAAGTCTTCTAGATTTTGTTTAATACATAATGAAATATTCATTTTATTTTATTACTATAAGAAATGTAAAAACTTATTACCATTATTAGAGTTTGTAAATTCATTGGACAAAACCCAGCGGTCATAATTAACGGTTTTTGTGATTGCTGCATTATTAACTGAATAGCCCGCTTACAACGCGGTTCTGATTCAAGCCAACACGATTTATAAGCTGCTTCGGATAAATTGATACTCTGGAAATTGAATTTTGATTTTCCATTTGAATTAAATTTTAATTTATAAGTGAATTTCAAATTTGTATAAAAATGTTACAAATTATCAGTAGCAAATAATTGAACGATGCTCAGAATATCATAAATATTGCTCTTATTGATATTTCAAACATTTCATAGAATACAATTTTATTTTATTTTTTTATTTTAGAAATTGCAGTATCGTTTATGTAATCTAACGTATTTTTGTTATAAAAATTTTAGAGACATTAACTATTGAATTTTAGTCAAGTGCTATGGATAAAATCTTCCAAAATGCAGCGTTTTTTAAATATATTCAATTATTGTTAAAACCAGATCCAAGCATATTCAAAGGATTCTAAAGAAGCGCAACTTCAAAATTAAACACAGAGATTTTTTAGAGTATAAATTTTTGTGATAAAATTTATACTTACTTCTAATACAATTTCATTGGCGTGCCAGTAGTACATGAAAAAAATAGAAAAAACTGTTCCAATGTATCCAAATGTAATACACATCTCCAATCCGAATGGCATCTGATTTAAATGATATTATTTTAGAAATTGATATATTTATATATTATATTAGATAATAATTGATCAAATTTTACCATCGTTACTAGGAAAATTTCAGCACATAATACTAGTCCTATAATAAAGAAATCTAAGTTTAAAGGGATGCTTATCATGTGCTCTAAATTCTTCAAAATTCTGAAAGCGAAAAATTTTTTTTAATAATTTTCTTACATACTTTTACGTACATACTAACAAGTTTTTTATACTTTAATTGAATACTGATCTTTATATCGAATACTTATTAAATCATCTGAGTTATGTTAAAAAAAATTAATAAGTATTCAGTACGATCGATTCGATCGTATCGTTTTATGTTTGTCAATTCTTTAGTGAAACTCACTACTTATTTTAAAAAATTGAATGGTTTAAATAATCTAATTAAATAATAATTATCTAATTTAAAGACAAACAATAACTACTTTGCAATGAAATATATTTTATGATTTTTTTTCTTAATAATTGGATAGATGGGATGTATGAACGATTTTCTGTTCACTCTTAACTGTATGAGAATTTATTATAATTGTTTGGAAATTTATTTTATTTACCTTTGATGTTATATATTTCTTATATTCACCTTATAATTTGTAGATGATCATCAACACATTTCGTTATAAATTCATATCTGTAGTTGTCTTTACAAAATTCATTTAAATGTTCTATTTTGTATTTAAGAATTTGGATTAAACATTGCACATACATCAGCAATGATATCATCATAGTATTCCATGCAATTATAATAGGATTGAATATATTAGTATCAATTCAATGTATAAAAAACACTATTATTCGGTTGCTTTCTACATCGAAGGGTAGATACATTGCTACTACGAAAACTTCAATTTTATCTCCAGGCCTGAAAGAAAAAAATAATTAAATTATATATATATATATATATATATATATATATATATTCTTACACAAACACAAATTCCAACACAAAAGCCCAAAAAGGTTAAATAAATAAAAATTATTATAATGTTTAATTGAAGTGATAAAACAGAGTAATTATAATAACATTTTAGTTTATTTTCGTGCTAAGAATATAAATATTTTTATTACACTTACCTATAAAAAACAAAAAATAATGCTATGAGATATATATTGAATACCACGATGGACAAGCCAGTAATAGCACAAACTATTTTAGTCAATATGCTATTATATTTAATATATTTGTTTAAAATCTCTTTAATAGCTTCCTGTTCATTGTTATTGATATATTTTATCGTATTATCTAAATCTGTAAATATTACATTAAATTGTTTGCTATAAATTATAGAAACAAATGCCTTCGATATCAATGAAGAATACACCACCACAGTTCCACCACGAGCTGTTAATCTCATCAAATTTCCTAAATTTTCATATGCGAAAAAATATTGTGATACATTTACTATTATCATAAATGTTAAAATTGTATATCGTTTTAATTTCTCTATGTACGGAAAGGAGACTTTTTTGAAATCAACCAAGCCATAAATGTGCAAACCTGGAAAATCGGATAATCTCTATTATAACATTTAAATTATAATTTTATCAATCCAATTTAAATATATTAAACGAGTATATTATACCCACCTTTCAAATGTATCCCAATAAAAGGATTATTTTTCAATTCCAAATCCATTGTCTTGTACAAAATTATGATAAATGATAATCTGCAGAAGCTATAAAGTCAACTGATTGAATTATCATTTATAATTATTTAATTGAGTTCTACTGCCATTCAAGATATATGATTATGTGATTATGGCAGTGACTTTAGTCTGCGGAATAATTGGGTATAGGCATGAATTATTACTTAGAATAGAATATGGTTTGTAAATTTTAATAATTGTCTCCAAA